CTACTGTCTTTGCAAGTTTTCTGTAAATATTCTAAAAGAAAAAAGTTACTTAAAGAAAAAGTACAAAGAATTCTGATACAGCTTTCACCCACATGTCCTGTAACATTTTACCATTTTCTTGTATTTATCTATGCACATGTATGTACACACACACACATTTTTTTTCCCTGAACCATTTGAGAATGTTAGAGACATAAGGCACCTCTGTCCTAAAAACAAGAACGTCTTCTTAAATGCAGTCCAGTTGTGAAAGTCAGGAAATTAACACAAACAATGCTCTTTAACACTTTATTCGAGTTAGAGCAGTGGTCCCACCGTATCGTCCCACCCCCATTTTTCTTCCCTGTGTCATGACCCAGCCCTGACGCTCGCATTGCGTGCATGACAAATATTTTGTAGAAGATTCCTCGGCCTGGGTTGGTTGCCTGATGCTTGCTCACGACGCAGGCCAAGTGGTGTATTTCTGGCAGTAATTCCCAGAAATGGCGTGCCCTCAGTGTCTTCTCTCAAGAGGCCCATGATGAGGATTTGTCACGTTGTTTAAGTAGCTGTCAGGATTCCCCACAGTAAAGTGACTAGTTTCCCCTTTATAGTTGGTAAGTAGCTTGTAGGGTTACTGTGAGACTGTAAATACAGGTAGTCCCTGGCTTACAGCGGGGTCCTGTTCAAATACATGGTTCTGATGTAAGTGGAATACCTCTTTTTTTTTTTTTTAAGCTTTCACTGTTACTGCCTTTTATTATCAGTATATTTATAAATCCGATTTTTGTCTTTGGGAATTGGAAACATCACATATAAACTTAGATGTATTTTAACATTGTATGTAGTACATACTAATGATAAGATGTACAAAAAAAAAAAAAAAAGAAAAAACCCAAAAAACAAATGGTCCTGTGTTCTGTCCTAACTTAAATATGTCATAAGTCAGGGACTACCTGTATTGTTTTTCATCAAACATTCACCCACTAGTTGTAACATATATTGATATCGCCTGCCTGAAACAGTTATTACAATGGCGATTGCCAAATACAATTTTCTAATTACTCCTCCTACGTTTATTAGAGAGTAGTGGTGGTTCAGGAAGGAGCCCTGGTGGCACCGTGGTTAAGTGCTTGGCTGCTAACCAAAAGGTTGGCAGCTCAAACGCACCAGCCACTCCCTGGGAGAAATTTGTGGCAATCTGTTTCCGTGAAGATTTAGTCTTGGAAGCGCGATGGGGGAATTCTACCCTTCTGTATGGTCGCTGTGAGTCAGAAACGACAGTAATGGGTTAGTGGGTAGTTCAGTGGTATAATTCTTGCTTTCCATGTGGGAGACGGAGGGTTGATTCCCGGTCAATGTCCTTCATGTGCAGCCACCACTTGTCATTGGAGGCTTGCATGTTGCTACAACGCTGAAGAGGTTTCAGCGAAGCTTCCAGACTAAGATGGACTAGGAAGGAAGGCCTAGTGATCTACTTCTGAAAACCAGTCAGTGAAAACCTTATGGATCACAACGGTCCAATCCGAAACAGATTGTGGGCATGGCACAGGACTGGGTAGCATTTTGTGCCATTGTGCGTGGGCTTGCTATGAATTGCGAGGCTGACTTGATGGCAGTTAGCAAAAATCTACACTTCTTAGTTCACATTCTAAGGTAAGAAGAGTTCCCCCTACCCCTACATCAGAATGGGCTTGTATTCTAATTTTATCCAGTGGTTTATAATTTGTTACTATATTTTGGTGTTCAAATTGTCCTAGATTTGGCTAGTGACTTCTGTGTCCATTTGACCTTTCCTATGATTGGAACACTTGCTTTCTGCCACAAAAATATGTTCCAGATTAATCTTTTGCTTTCCCTGTGCCATCCCTGGAATCAGCCATTTCTCCATGTATTTCTTAGCCCTGATTCCTTTGGATGAAAAATGGTATGTAGAAGCCAAGGTCTGGGCACTAGACTAGGTATGTTCATTACTGTTAGGGTGTCACTGCCCCTAGGCCCTCTCAGCGGATTGGGCTAGGAAATGCATGTATGCCTGGAATACTCTTCCCCTAGAGAAGAATGGCTCCTTCTCTCAATGTCACCTCCCCACGGAGGACTTTATTTCTCTATGTTAACGATCCTGTGTTCACACAATTTTATTTCCAATTCCACTGCAACACCACAAGGTTCGTTCTAACCTCCTCTTTCCATATTTTTACATCCATTCTCTGACAGTGTGAAACCTGACTCCTGTTACACAATGTATGTGCTTATTTGCCCAATCCTAGAATACAGCTAAAGCAGTTGCAAAATTGCTCACCTATCCCACTGCAAAAATAAGTAAAACAACCCTACTAACAAGAGTTCAGTGTTTGTGTATGGTTCTTCTTGTCCTTAGTTGAGGGTGTAAGGTCAAAATACTATGCTCCAAAATGACTTGGGTCAGTTTCCCACCTCCCCCGCTCCACCACGTGGTTCTGTTACACATGTGAAAACCATGCTCATTTGCTTCATAATTCACATCATGAAATTTAAAACTTTTTCCTATGGCGGTGTTCCAGCCCTCACAAAAGTCAAACAGTTTAATGAACTTCCACATACCTATCACCTAGCTTCAAATGGACTTTTCTGTGATCCATATTCCACGTGGGGTCCCATGAAGCGAGTCTGTATATGCAGAAGTTTGACGACCCCTGAGATGCCTGCAGGTACCCAGGACTCCCTCTCTCCCCCCACACACCGTCAAGAGAAGGAAACCAAGGGAGGGCAGGTGGAGGGAGGTTCAGGGGGGGATTTGCCCAAAGCTGGGCTGTGACTCAGTCCTTCCCTTTGGCCTTCTGAGTGGCTTAAGGAAGAGCAGGTGCAGGCCCTTTACTCAGTCATTCAATAAATGCTGATGCCTGCTCTGCACCAGCCATGGGGATTCAAGGATGAATCAGACTAGACCTAGCCCAGGGTCGTGCCCCTTGTTTGTCTGAGGGTGCAGTACCAAATAACCCTGCTCTCCATCAACAAAGATGCTGAGCACCCGCTATGAGTCCCAGGTGGATGCTGAGGTCACGGCCACAAACAAGATGGACCAGACAAAGCCCTGCTCTTGGGAGGGGACATAATCTATCAAATATGCAGAGAATTAAAAGAGGATGATTTGATGGTGACTGGGTGGCTACTGGAGCCCTTGTGGCTCAGTGGTTAGAGCTACGGCTGCTAACCAAACAGTCGGCAGTTTGAGTCCACCCGCTGCTCCTTGGAAACCCTATGGGGCAGTTCTACTCTGTCCTATAGGGTCGCTATGAGTTAGAATCGACGGCAACGGGTTTGGTTTTTGGTTTGCGGTGGCTACTAAGGGGCTCTGGCGGCACAATGGTTAAAGCGCTTGGCCGTTAACCAAAAGGTTGGTGGTTCGAATCCACTAGCTGCTCCACCAGAGAAAGATGTGGCAGTTTGCTTCCGTAAAGATTTACAGCCTTGAAAACCCTATTGGGGGTAGTTCTGCTCTGCCCTGTAGGGTCACTGTAAGTCAGAATCGACTCAACGGCAGTGGGTTTGGTTTTAGTTTGGATGGCTGCATGAGATAGGACGTCAAAGAAGTCCTCTACGGGGAGGTGACATTTGAGCAGAGACCTGAGAGAAAAAGAGTAAATCATTTTTCTCTGGGAGATGAGCATTCCAGGCAGAGGGAACAGCCAGTGCAAAAGCCCTGAGGTCAATGTGCGGTGTGGATGAGGAGGAGACAGGAGGCCAGTGTGGCTGTAGAGAAGTGACTGAGGGGCAGAGGCATCGGAGATGAGCTCAGAGAGGTGTGGGGGTGGGGGTGGGGGAGGAGATGGAGGTCCTCCTGGGATACTGTGAGGACTTTGGCCTTTACCTTGAGGGAGATGGAGCCACCATAGAGTTCTGAACAGAGGCAAGATGTGATTAGACTTAGATGTTCACAGACCCTCGCTGCTGTGTGTGGATGGGAACAGGGAAGGAGTCGGCTGCACTAGTCCAGACCCACCGATGGCGACGTGGCCCGATCAGCCTCTCAGCTCTAGACCATGGACTTGGGAAAGGCAGGAGCCACACGGACATTACTCACCTGGAATACCCACTGCACAGAACACACCAAGACAAAACAAAAAAACAAACTTGTTGCCGTGGAGTCGATTCTGACTCATAGCGACCCTATAGGACAGGGTAAAACTGCCCCATAGGCTTTCCAAGGCTGTAATCTTCACGGAAGCAGACGGCCACGGCTTTCTCCCTCAGAGCGGCTGGTGGGTTCCAACCGCCGACCTTTTAGTTAGCAGCCCAGAGCTTAACCACTGCGCCACCAGGGCTCCTTTGCACAGAATACACACATACCCCTTAACCCCAGGCCGCCGGTCCACGGGGCTCGTGCCCCGGCCCGCTCACCATGACTTCGGCGAAGATGTCCCCAGCGTACTCGCGTTCTCCCTCCAGCCCCAGCGCGCCCAGCGCCTCCTCCAGCCCAGGCGGCGCCCACGGCCCCGGGGCCCTCGCCGGGCGTCCTGGGGACAGACGCGTGCCGGCAGGGACGCCGTCGGGGAGGGGGGCGCTCGGAGGCTCTGGATCGAGGGAGGCAGCCGGACACACACATACACACACCCACAGACAACCAAACCCATTGCCGTGGAGTCGGTTCCAACTCAGCGGCTGCTGGATTCCAATTGCCGACCTTTTGGTTAGCAGCCAAACCCTCTTCCTGAAATCTTTGCTAAGTGATTTCTAGTTCCCATGTCTTGAGCTTCTACTGTATCAGGCCCTGTGCTGGACACTTAACAAACTTAACCTCATAAAATCTTCACAACAACCCTGTCGGCTGAGTTTTGAAATAATCCCTAATTTAAAGGCGGAAACTGAGGCGCAGCGAGGCTGTTTCTGGTCCGGAGTCGCACGGCTAGGATTTGACTTTAGCTGTCCGATCTTATAGGGCTGGAGGGAGCAGAGCCAGCCAATCAGGACATGGAAGGCGGAGCCTGTTTATCAATCACCTTTGCATATACACCTGCCCAGGTGAGGCTTGCTCAGCGCGCATGCGTCCAGGCACGTTTAAAACGCCCGTCGTGGGCCCCTCCCTCCAGCTGGAAGAAGTCGGCGACTGGAGGATGCTGGTGAGAAGCGGGAGCCAGGGCCCCACCTCCGGCTGCGGTCTCTCTCCAGACGCTGACCCCAGGCCCCTCTCCCCCGCAGAGTCCGGCTGCCTCCCTCGATCCAGAGCCTCCGAGCGCCCCCCTCCCCGACGGCGTCCCTGCCGGCACGCGTCTGTCCCCAGGACGCCCGGCGAGGGCCCCGGGGCCGTGGGCGCCGCCTGGGCTGGAGGAGGCGCTGGGCGCGCTGGGGCTGGAGGGAGAACGCGAATACGCTGGGGACATCTTCGCCGAAGTCATGGTGAGCGGGCCGGGGCACGAGCCCCGTGGACCGGCGGCCTGGGGTTAAGGGGTAGGGTTAGAGGAGGCGAAGCTGGCCCACGCACCCGGTGAACCTGTCCGGACTCCCACCTCGCCAGCCTCCTCTCTCACCTCTACCCGCTGGCTTTCCTGCTTCCCCGGCCTTCTTGGCTTGTTCTTGCAGTTCGCAGCGCTCCAAAGCCCTTTCCCCCTCGGCGCCCCTCACGACGCTCACGCTTCCCTGGCCTCCTTGGATGCTTCGTAGCCTCTCACGTGTGTCCCTTACATTTATTCATCTGACAAGCTGAGATTCATTAAACAAATATTTTTGAGCACTGTTCTAGGGACCAGAGATACTGTGATGAGCCAGCCTGTCCTCACTAGGGAGATAAACAAGCAAATACGAGATAATTTCAGAGGGGCCACAAAGACCAAAAACAGGCCATGGGGTCGTCAGACCTGTATGAGAAATGTCATATTGGAAGAAAGACTGAAGGGATGAATTCGTTGACTGAGCATCTTGTGGGTGCCTCTTCTAGGCTGGGTCTCTATTAGGAGCTGAGATACAGCTGTGAGCTGCACTGAAGTCCCTGCCCTGTGGTATTAGCAACCGTAGGGGGTAAGAAGGCAAAACACAGAGAAACACTAGATACCTTCAGAAATAATGAGACAGTAATAAGGTGGAGGGAGGAGTACAGAAAAAGGAAACGTATAGCTGAGACTTGAATGACCGAGAAGGAGCCAGCAATGCAAGGAGCTGGGGAAAGACCATTTCAGGAGAAGTAAGTGCAAAGGCCCTGGGGTAAGGATGAGTTTGGCATGGTCTAGCAGCCAGAAGGCTGTTATGGCTGGAGTGTGGGTTATGATCGGGGAGAGGGAGGAGGTGATGTTGGAGTGGGGGCAGAGCCTGGAAGTGTCTGAAAGAAATTAGGATATTATCCTGAGGGTACTGGGAGCCAAGGAGGATTAAAAAAAAACTTTTTATTGTTGTTGTATGGGTTGCTATGAGTTACAATCAACTCTTTGGCAACTAACAAGAAGTGTGTGTGTGTGTGCCTACACACACACACACACACACACACACACACATACATACATACATAGACATACCATCACCGCTGTTTCCAAATTTTCATGGAAGGCTTTTTTTTTTTTTTAAGCTAGGAAGTTCCTTGGTCAGATTTGAACTTTAGAAAGTCCCTCTCAGAGCACTGAGAAGCGTTGGTGTGTCGAGGGTTGGTGGCCAAGGCTGATGTCTGGGAATCCAAGGGGAGACGCTCAGGAAGCCAGTGACCGTAAAGGCTACAGATTGGAGAGGTCGGTAGGGAGCGTCCAGGGCAAAGCCCTGGCTTCTGGACCGGGACAGGGAAAGAGGAGCAGATTTGAAGGCCAGTTTGTGCGCGGCACCCGTGCGATGTCTAACTGGAGTCCAGGAGGCCGCTGCACCCAGGACTGGAGCTCAGGAGAGAGACCGAGGTACAGGTGTGGAGAGTAAGGCCGGTCCTGCCCAACCCCAGGTGTGCCGCGCGCTGCCCGGGAGGGCCCTGCCGCGCACCGTGACCCCGGAGATGCGCGCGCTAGTGGTGGACTGGCTGGTCCAGGTGCACGTACGTAATGGGGAGGGGGTGGGCCCGGGCCCGCTTCGCGGTCTGGGACCCCGGTAGTCACCCATGTCCTTCCCCAGGAGTACCTGGGTTTGGCTGGGGACACGCTGTACTTGGCCGTGCATCTGCTCGATTCCTACTTGCGTTCGGGCCGCGTGCGCCTACACCGCCTGCAGCTCCTGGGCGTGGCCTGCCTGTTCGTGGCTTGCAAAGTGGAAGAGTGCGTGCTTCCGGAGGTACTTCCGGGGCGGGGCGCTTACTGTGTGCCAAGCACTTTGCCGAACGCTTCACCTAATCTTGGAATCCTAACATATGTGTATGAGGTTGGGACTGCCAATGTGTCCGTTTAACAGAGGAGGAGACTGAGGCCCAGAGAGGGGCCCAAAGTCAAGGAGTTGGGACTTGAACTCAAGTCTTGAAAAGTTATAGTCCATCTTGAGTACTTGGAGTTAACACGCGTGAACGCAGTGACTTATCAGAACTGCCTGGGGAAGTAGGGAGTAGTATCTCCATTTTACGAATGGGGAAACTGAGGCTCAAAGAGCTTAAGTGAACAGCCCCAAGTCACACAGTGAATAAATGAACTCAAACCCAGGTCTTACTGACTCAAGCTAGTGTTCTCCACGACGTCCAGAAACAAAAATCAATGGCCTTTTTACAGACCAGGAAATTGAGGTCCAGATAGGGGACTGAACCGATCCTAGGCCCTCCAGGGCAGGGAGGGGAGAGTTGGGGTCCCGTGTCCCTCTCTTCCCCCGCCCCCTCTGCAGCCCGCCTCCCTCTGCCTCCTGGGTGCTGGCTCCTTCTCGCGGGCCGAACTGCTACGCGCAGAGCGCCGCATCCTGAGCCGCTTGGATTTCCGGTTGCACCACCCGGGCCCGCTGCTGTGCCTCGGATTGCTCTCTGCGCTGGCCCGGAGCAGCCCCCAGGTGTGGGGCGGGCGGGGCTTGCAGGGAGGGGCGGGGCTTGCAGGGAGGGGCGGGGCCAGACGTTTCCACCCTGGCTCCCGCAGGTGATGCTGCTCGCCACCTACTTCCTGGAGCTGTCCCTGCTGGAGGCCGAGGCTGCGGAATGGGAGCCAGGTCGCCGCGCAGCTGCCGCGCTGAGCCTGGCGCACCGCGTGCTCCACCAGACTGGGCCAGAGCCGGCGCTTTACAGGTACGGCCGCGGGGGAGGGGCCGGGGGCTGGCTGTGGTGAGGTCTCTGCGGCTTCGGCGAAATCCCTTCCTGGTCTCTCTTTTCAGAGAGTGAGAGACAATTGGGGGGCGGGAGAACTAGACTTGATTCTCCTGGGTGTGGGAGAAAATGGGATGTCTGCCCAGCCTGGGGATCCCATGCCTTTTTTCTCTGGGGTGTCAGAGAATGGGGTTTGTCCAGATATGGGGACACTTTCCCAGACCTGGAAGATGCCCTAGTGTTCCAGGCTTGAGAATGAGGGGTCTACCAGGTCTTGAGTCCCCCAGCTCCACAGCTGGCCGTGGATAGGGTGGCCCTTTAGCTACTGCAACGCCCCGCCCCCCCCGGCCACCTGCCCGTTAACCAGGCTGCTGGTGGCAGGGTGAATCGTCATTTCTCCTAGCCCTTGCTCCCATACAGCTGTGTGTCTGCCCGTCCTCGGGCCCCCCTCCCCTCCCCTAGGTCCTGGCTTCCCCTAGCAGCGCTCCTCCGCGGTGCCCCTGCCCCCCACCTCCGTCACTCTCTAGTTGAGGATGGTCTGCCTGTCCGACCTTTAGAGCCCCTGAGCCACCCCTAGGGTCCAAGTCGGGGACCCAAGTCTCAGCTTCGATCCTCCATCTCCCTGCCGCAGCCCCGCGGAGCTGGCCCCCCTGGAGCCGTGCATGGCCCGCGCCGCGCTCCGGGGCCCCGCGCCGGGCCGCGCCGCTGTCTTCCTCAAGTACGCGCGACCCCAGCGTGAGGGCACCAGCCTCGCCGCCGCCCGCCTGCTCCGCAGCCCCCAACCCGCGCCTCCCTGAGTCGGGGAAACCCCGTCAAAAAAAGACCTCTCAGTATGTGTCGGTCTACCACTTCATTAAAGAGTTTCTTTTAGTCCCAGCGCTCTCTATCTTCATTGGTCGAATGCCCGCCCCTCTTTCGCGTTTGATTGGTCGCTTCCTGGGACTCCCATCCCTCTGCATGTTTTCACCAAATCCATTTAATGGCAGCTGGGAGATGAGATTCGAGTTCTAAACCTCTCCGCCAGGGGGCGCTGGCGGACTTCCTCAAGGCGCCGCTCCGCGGGATAAAACGCGGATCACAAACTGAAATGCGTACCTACGGGAGAGGCTGCAAGAAAAATCACAATCCAAGCTGAACAACCCTGGCCCTTACGTTTGGGAAGAAACGGGGAGGGATGGGGACTGTGGGGGAGCTGCGGATGCCCGTCCCAGGCATGCGGAATGCTGCCACGATGTTGTCAGGTTTTCAGATTTTTATTCAAGTGAAGCTGAAAGTCTGGAATTCCATTGAAATCTCTGCTTTTATAAGTTGGCAACTAATTCAACATTTTCTGATGGTTGCACAAGCCCAACACATCACGTGTGCTGGTATATGCTTTTCACCAGCTTGTGATGTGAATAACTGGGATGTGATTTCTTAACCTCTGAAGTGCCTCCGTTTCAAAGGCGATGGTGTGTTGAGGATGTGAGTTCGTATGGATGTGAAGCGTTTAGGACGGCGCCTGACACATAGCAGGTGTCATCAAAGTGCTAGCATTGCATCCTACCAGGACTGTGAGTTAGGTACAGCTGTCCCATTTGCTACTGTGCCCCTAGCCCCTGGCCATTTACCAGGTGCACAGGAAATATTTGTTATATATCAATGGCTATGTACTTTAAAAAAGTAAGTTTTTGAACTTACGGTAAGTATATAGGTAACATTTACTATTTCAATGATCTTCACATATCAATCTCTACTCTTTTCATTAAACACACACACACACACACACACACACACAGACATACACCTGAGGGGCAGAAAGGTGACAAGGCTGCTCTGGACCTCAAGCTGAGGAATATGAGACTCTTAAGGAAGCCTGGGTTTGGAGATGCAGAGAGGAGGAGGTTTCTGCCCCTGAGGTGTTCAAGGTTGCAGGACCAAGGATGGGGAAGAGACTCAGCAAAAGGATTTCATAGCAAACTACAAGGACAGATTGAGGTAGATGCTGCTCCTGGGATGGGAGGTGCTGAGTTCAGGTTTGGGCCTGTTGGGTGGGACCTGGGACCTGTCGGATCTCTATCTTCATTGGTGGAATTGGCCTGCTAGGTAAGGACCTCCTGTGCTTCATCTATTCATTGCTCTAGCAATTATGTGTGAGTGCCAACTCAGAGCCAGGCAATTGTGATCACGCCACTCACAATCTAATGGAAGAGAAGAAATGCCAATTGTTATTTGCCCATTCCTGTACCAGCCCATGTTTAAGTGCTTTACTTGCATAATATAGTTTAGTCCCTCGCTTGCTTGTTCTCCCCATGATACACAGAAGGACGTCAAGGTGGAGGAGGATCAAGGAGCTTGGTCAAGGCCCCACAGCTATGGAAGCGGCTAAGGTGGCTTGAAGGGCAATGCCCTCATTCACCCTCAGTTTTTCTTTCGAAAGCCTCCCACATGTTCTCTTCCTTGTGCACTGTTATTGTACAGCTCACTCTGGGTTGCCACTGACTGGTGACTTGTCCAGACGGTGAGTTCTCTGAGGGGAAGAAGATCTTTCTTTTACACAGAGTTATCCCCTGGGCCAGGCCGACTTCACTCACCACCTCAGCCTAGGGCAGGCGCCTCTCACAGCCTGTGGCGCTTTTCCCACCCTGGCCCCAAACCCTTTGCCTGTGCTTCCCCCATCCCGGCCCGGATCCCTCTGCTTATGCTTCCCTTGACCACTCTGGGACGTCACTGTCTGGGGACTGGTCTGCCTCCCCCGATGGACTGGGAGCCCAGGGGGGGCAGGGTAGAGGTTCTCAGTCTCTGTGCTGTGCCAGCATCACTCAGCACGGGGCAGGCCACAGAAAAGGCATCAGACAATATTTGTTGCATAAATAAATGAATGATCTCTAAAGTTGATATTGCCCCATGGTACAGACGAGGATACAGCGTTCCAGACAACTTTGGGTGATTTGTCCAAGTCACACAACTAGTGAGAAAATATTCAGGGATTTGAATTCGGGCAGCTTAAGTCCATATCCTGTGTTCTTATCCAACATGCCAAATGGTTAGTGGGCTGAAACCAGCTTCTCACAAGGCTGATAGCTTCCTGCTCCTCTCCCCAGACTTGTCCTATCTTTCTAGAAAGCCTCGGGTTTGGGGGAGGCGAGCGGGCAGGAGGGTGGGGAGGATGAAGGGCTGGGAAGAGGGAGAGGCCGGCTGCAGAACTAGGACCGGGGCTGATTTGCAGGCGAGAGTGGGGACGTCTTGAGGGGTTTCCCCTAGGGGGCAGACAGAGTCGGCTGCCGGAGGTGCGGGGGCGGAGGAAGGGTGGGGACCGGCCCCGCGGGGGGCGATGCGGTAGCTGCAGCGGCCGCAGGAGTTTCCCACAATGCAGCGCGGCGCGCTGTCCCCGGTGCTGATGCTCAGCGCTGCCCCGGAGCCTCCGCCGCGCCCACCTCCCGCGCTCTCGCCGCCGGGCCCG